TTGCGTGTACGTTTGAAATTCCTCGAACTGTGTTTTAAGACAGGGAAGATGAAGGAATTTCATCAGCATCCCGGCCACGTAGGAAGTCGAACGGACCTGCCCAAAAGGAGGCGCGTGCTCAAGGTCCTGGACTGCCATGATGGTCACTCGTGGGGGGTTCTCATTGCTCCCCACTGCAATGCTGGTCACAGCACCCCATGTTGGCAGGCACCTCTTCGTCCTGGTCAAGGATGATGGTGACACAGTTACCGTCCACCCCCGTCAGGGTAGTTTGCCCGCTCCTTGCTCAGTCGTTTCACGCATCTTTTAACTTTCTTTCAGAAAGTTATTTTCATCCTTCCTCCGCGGTGCTCCTCCATTATCGGTATCCGAGCCAGCCTCCCGGTTTGGTCAAAGATGGGACTTTTAAGAATGGAGAAGATAAAAACTAAAAATAAATCAACAAAAATAGAAATAGTAAAAGTGAAGAGGACGAGGACCTGCCGACACTCTCTCGGTTTTGCCAATCGGACCCAGGCTCGGGCCCGTCTGACAAAACCAAGGGGGATAGTCCCTTAAGACCCTCGACCCCTCAATCTCTGCCGATCGCGCTTCTTTGCTTCATCGCCGTTAGCTGACCTCAAACCCCAAACCTACTGCTTGAAAGTCCAGTATTGTAACCATTAGAACTAGGCCGAAGGCTGAGCTAGGTAGGCGTGAACCTACGTATAAATAGTCGCGAGACCGTGATTGGTCCTACCCGCACAAACCAGGCCTCCGCCTTGGCCTACCGGCCAACCTCCTGGCTGTTAGAAGACGTCGAAACGCCACTCGCGCCTAGGATCGTAGCTATCTGGTATCATGGTCGTCAGGCGCACGACGCACTTTGTCGAACTTCCAAACTTTCCCCCCAGACTAGGTTTGCCAACGCTGTGCCTTTCGATGCGTCGTCCAACATAAACTTCTCATGTGTGCGCAAGGTATAGTTTTTATCCTCTTCGCGTCGTGTCCGGCCAGAGGCCGGACTAATTGCGAAGTAAAGTTGGTCTTGATAAAACAAAAGAAAAATATAATCAACAATAAAACAATGGAAGGGAGAGTAAATAGGCCCTATGACTTTGGTGTCTTCCGCCGGCCTGGTATTCTCGATGACTAACGACTATCTCACAATGCAACGCAGTAATGCGTGCTCCACACACTCTTTAATCTGACTGTATTCAACTCGGAGTCTCACCAAAAGCGGGGCTGTCGAGGTGAGCGCCTTAACGGGATTTTCCCCATCAAGGCATTATGTTGATCAAGGGACGCACCCAGTGCGACCTTTTTAAAAAGGACGACAAATACCCTTGTAAGGGTGTTTGCTACGAGAACGTCATTTTCCTTCACGCATTTTGTCGGGTAAGTTAGTATAATAGTTGTACGGCCACATATGTAAGTAATGATTATAATGATAGTAGTTATTAATAAAATACTAATAAGAATAAGTAATAATAATAATAAAACATCCTTTTTTAACTATAGTGTCACACTTGTGCCTCAAGGTGTGCGACCCAGATCAAACACCACATGACTACTGAGAGGATCACCTCATATAATGAGTCATTCCTAGTTCACGGCGCAAAGCGTTCACACTTAGTTGTGCATGGCTTAGTCTCTAAGACGAGCATATGACTATTGGCAGTACCAACCAGGTAGTGGGCGTAACGAGCAGCCCTACGGAGCAATGGCAATCATGGCGTACGACATCCAACCAATCCGCCAAACATATGAGTTCTTCCGTTTTTTTTTTCAGTACTGATCGATATTAGCAATTCGTTCTTCTTGTGTAGGTGTCATCGGCGCCCCCGGCTAAATGATATGCATGTAAATAAAACAGCGGCGAGAATGACATGACCAATCACATACAAGCAGGACTCACCTTTTAGCATTGGAGCAGACAAAATGGTCACCATTGCAGCTAAGTCCTTCATGTCATTGAACAAGAGTTAAGCTCAACGGGGTCCCTCTTCTATGTTGATTCCTTCAAACCCATCCACCTCTTCGTTATAATCACCGTCTTCTACTTTTGTCCCATATTGTTCTCCCTTCTTGTCTTTCTTGATTCTTACCTTCATGCGTGTTCCCCTCAGCCTTTGTTTTCTCTGCACGCTCACTCTCTTCCTTCCCTTGTCCATACCGTCTAACCTTGCGTATTTCCTTTACTCTCGTTCTCGCCTTTATCTTCCTGATCACACATTTTCCCACCCTACATCCCCCGTATCTCTCTCTTTCATCTTCTCGAACGTACATAATCATATTTATGGTTAGTAGTTGAACACATTAATAACAATAATATTAAAATTAATAATAATCAATAATAATAGTAATAATAATGATAGTAACAATATAGTGATAATGTATATAAGTTATTTTTCTCATCCAAATAAAGTCGATTATTTTAAACCCGTTCTTTTGGCTTTGACTTCGCAAGATGGTAGATAGGAACAGTGAAAATCCCGTTAATCCACTCGCTCGCATCACTAATTGGATGCGAGGCATTTGACTACCTTAAGAGCCACAGTTACTCATGTCGTTTATCCACGCTCGGTTGAAACTCTTTCACTTAGACGTTTATAGTACTGGGCATAACTCACATTGCGCCAACATCCGTTCGAACCATCGTAATTCTTAGTTTTTAATTAAGCAGTCGGTTCCCTTTTGTCCATACTAGTTCTAAGTCGGTAGTTCGATGTTTAGAGAGAGTCTCACACCCCTCTCTTTCTCCATCTCACGTTTTTCCTCTTTTTTTTCCTCTCCTCCCCCTGTTCTCTCTCCAGTTCGTCTACGCTCCCCGTTTCCACGATTTCACTCTTATTCTTATTCATGCTCTCGATGACGATTCTGGCTCGTTTGCTTCTCACAGGATTACGAGCACCATTCATAAGCGACCGATTTCAATCATTCATTGTGAAATTTGATTTTAAGATCAGACTATCCCACGAACAACTTCGGGAACGCTAGTGGTAACATTAAAATAATAGTAATAATAATTATAATAAGTTAAATAACATAATTATAATGATAAATAATAAATGATAATAATATGATAATAAATAGAATAACTCACCGGTCTTGTTTGGTTGAGACGCCGTGGCAGTCAAATGTTTGTTCCAAGTTGTCGTCGTGAAGGTAAACTCAACCCCTCAGTTGCGCTTTCTGTGACTCCTCTCGTCTCTTGTATTTCTTATTGTCAATCAAATACATCCAAAATAAGGGATGTTGCAATCGAGGAAGTCGATCGTGATCATTCCCTCCACCTTTCATTTTGTGATCTTCCGTCTTTTCTTTCTCTTGCTTAATCTACCTCCTCCTGCCTACGTGCTCACGTTCGCACTAGTTCGTTCTCGCACTTACTTGTGCTATGCCTGCTCTCGGTCGTTACTCCTGTTTTTCCTTGTTCACATTGTCGAGCGCATCGGTCCCGTAGGGGGACCCTCCAGGCCGCGTCACACAAGATTTCGAGTGGGTTTTTATCCTTTTATCCAGGTGCAATGGAGCTTTCGTCGTCGATCCGACCAAGTGCCCCAGCCATACCTCTCGCAAACCCCTACGACAGGATATTGGCACGTGAGGTACAACTTACCTCCGCCCAAGGGGCTGTCACCACCCTTGAACGGACGTGTTCTCGTCGAGCAATCGAACCACGTGAGAAAGTTGTTCAGTTGCAATTGCAGAGGTGGCCCAGCCAAGGGCGTTTCTCGTACGTTGTAGCATAGTAAGGGGTACGCGCGGTCTCTCTCCTCTATCGGACCTGTACGTGAACCGACGCATCGGGGGCTGAAGTCCCGAGCACGACTCGTCGTCGGTCGACTAGGGTGCATCTTTCTTACCACGCGTTACACCACGCCATCACAAAACAGTCAGGTTACTCACACAAAACAAAACACTCCTAGTCCCTTTAGTATCGAACTTATAACCTTTTGACATGAAAATCGGTTAGGCGTCGCGCTCGAGACTGAAGATAAACCGCGAGGACGCAGGGCTTTCTCATATCGACTGCGCATGCATATACAAGCAAGCGGTTGCAACAATGGCGTACTATGTAGTACCCATAATCGTGTGGTCCTCGGTGGTCTCGAGGGTTACGTTCAACACTCAAGTGTCGGTTGACACGCGCTTTGAGGGGTTAAACTCTCGACGCTAGACAACCGCCAAGGCGGTTAAGAACCATACCCTCTTCTGCACTCTGCGGAGAGTGGGTGGTACACAGGCTCCTGCCGGTTCTGGAAGTCAAATTTTATCGCCATGAAGACGAGCTCCGTCATCTAGGGTTTGGAAAGAAGTCAAGGGGTTTAACTTTGATGGTTGTCAAGGACTCTAACGTCCAACTATAATAATTCTAAAAAGAAAAAGGCAAAAGGGGATCTCATTTTTCTCACAGCGCATAATCAACTCAACTCTCGCACGCGCTCACAATAGATCGCGAAGGACACATGGGATATACACATATAAAGGGTTATAAACACGAGACGATCACTTCTCACAGTCATAATGAGACTCCCTTCAACCATATATATATGATCGCAAACAGTCAAATCCATAGTCTGAACCACAAACATACCTACAATCACATCAAAGATTCAACCAAAGTTTCACGCACTACACGGGGTCAACTTTAACTACTCTCTACGCTCATACCCCCTCGCTTTAGTCATACAAGCCCCAACCTTTGTCCAACCTTCCAAAATAAAATACTCAGGAGATTCAGTATCTTTGTTAAATGACCATTCAATAAAGTACGGGTGAAAACCCAACGAAACAATTCAAACCACAGGAGCTAAAGCCTTAGGTTCAGTGGCGAGAATGAATTAGAGTTGAAGGGGGTTCCGGTCTCAGAGACGGCTATGCCAAGGTCGTCTTTGGGGGTTGGGGAGGGTTGTCTGGGGGTTACTGACAAGTGCATGAGAGGCAAATGAGACGCACAACGAAACAAGTTGAAGACTACATCAAGTTCATGATTTCAAACAACAAGAATATTGAAACGCATTGAGTAACATTCATTGCAGAAATTTTGAAACCACAAAATAAAGGAGCAACGAAAAACAAGGCAAAATAGTTGCACCATAAGCACACCACAATAGAAGAAACATGGAGACATTGGAGAGTGAACTCAGTCAAACAATGCATGAAGAAAGTGTGTCATCGTCTGAAACATCGATACAAAAAAAAAATAGAAACTACACCTATTGCACCTATGTATGAACAAAGTGTGCAATCATTTGAAACATCGAAGGAAAAATAAAATGAAAAAAAAAACAAAAACTGCACCTACTGCACCTATGCATGAAGACAATGTGCAATCTCATGAAACATCGATACGAATACACATACAGTCATGTCGAGATGCACATATTGCACCTATAAACACATGATCTCATCTGAAGTATTAAAGGTGTTATACACTACTAGGAAATAGAGGGCGGAAGAGGACCAATGGTGGGACTAAGCATCATCGTCGTCCACAATGTCCTTCCTCCTCCTCTGTGGCGCCACACTAGTGGCATCCCTGTGGTGCCGCCTTATCCTTGACCGTGCTCGAAGAAAGTCATATACGGAAACCCTCTTCCGCTGGCCAGCTGACATCTCCAAACCGTCGGTACCCGACTCCCAGCCGATGGGTGTCTGTGACGATCGCCGCATCGTCAATGCCCTCACATCCACCCCCAGTACACATTCGGCCATGCTCCTCCCGGGGAACAACTGTGCTCGTCGTGCTCCTCCGTAACGGTAGTGGAAGTCCGCCCTCTAGCATGTGGCACCGCCGCCTCGGCAGGTGTGCTCATCGGGCGCGTCGTCACCTGGGTAGAGGCCCTCTCCCGCCAACCTGCTGTATCCGCAACAATGTCCCCGCCCAATGCCTCCAGAGTCCGCAGATGTAAACCGACCAACGCAGGCTGACTCGCCCGTATCTGGTGGGTCACCCTCCTCAGAGTACTAAGACTCTTTCTTGCTCTCATGATTCTCATCTTCTTCTTCCATGATTTGGGAAAAGGAGATTCCCCCGCGGGTGCCGATGCGGGACTCGGTGCCGATGCGGAACTCGATGCCGATGTGGGACTCGGTGCCGATGCGGGACTTAGTACCGTGCCTGGACCCTCGGTATGTGTGGGAGGAATGACATATGTGGCAGACGATGGCACTGACGGGCTGCACAACACAAAAGTTGGGCCCTCTGCCATGACCCTCCTTGACGCCTCATCCATCCGTGCGCGTCGATCTGCCCGCAATGGGTCCTTCCGTGTCTGCCGCTCTAACTCCCCCGCCGACATAGCTCCAGCGAATGGCAATACACAAACACCATGAACTGGTGATGCATGTCTCTCGCCTGCATCCCCACCGACCGCACGGCCACACTCAACCTCTGCATCCTGTATCGCACAATGACCCGCACCATCACCCGTCTCGAGCATCCGCTCTGCACGTGCCTTTGCCGCAATACTTCGTGTCATCTCGCAACGCCTGGCCAACTCCAGCGCCCTCTCCCTCTCCTCGCGATTGGTTATGTCCTGCTCCGACTCTGGCACTTGCTCCTGCACAGGTCGGCACTCCCCGTCATCCCCTACTACATGCTCACGCTGCCCCGACGAACCCTCTGTGTCCTCCGCTACCTGCCGCAACATGCTGCTACTGATGTCACCCATGCTGCACGAAGGCAAACCTCTAAGGATCTGACTGATGGGCTGGCCTGTGCGTCCACACCACCAGTACCACGCTCACCTGTCGGCGTCGAAGGAAGCCCCAACGAAGCACCAAACATGTCATCGTTGAAACTGGGACCGAACTGTGCAGAATATGCAGATGCCCTCCCAACCTCTGCAGTCGCGCCACCGACCTCTGCAGACCCGGCTACAACCTCTGTCGACGCTGCAACAGCCTCCGCATCCTCGGCAGCAACCTCCGCAGACCCGGCAGCAACCTCTGCAGACGCTGCAGCAAACTCTGCAGGGGAGGCAGCGACCTCTGCCGACACGGCAACAACCTGTCGTGACACGCTCATCATCCCAGTGTACAGTGCCAGTGGACGATGCAGACTCTCGCCTCGCCCGTCCTCCGGCAGCACGGCCTGCACCAGCTGTGTGCCCCGCACCCCCAACACCCGACCCGCTGCCTCCCCTGCCTGCATCACTGCATCGGTCACCAAGATGTCTCTCGGACCTCCGTAAACCACCCACAGGTTGTGTCCCATCGCGGCCCTCGTCGTCCTCGTCACCACGCCGGTGTGTCGGGGAATAGGCGGGATCATCATCGTCCTCAATGTTGCCCTCGTACCCCCTCTCCTCGCGGTCGTTGTCGTCGTCTCTCTCCTCAACATCTCCCCGACCGCCCTGCTCGTCATGTCCACGACAATCTGTCGAAGGCTGCGGAACCGTGCCCCCAACCCAGTCCTCAAGGCCTCGAAGTGGAACGTCAGGAGCACTCAAAGTTCGAGGTGGAGGGGAAGGCGGCGCAGGGCCTGCAGTGAAACCACGTGTCCGAGGGCGCATCATCTCGGCGAGAGGAGCGTCGTCGCGACCCTCATCAGAATCTCCTGCCTCTAACTCCACCGCCAAGTCGTCTGGATCGGACCACAGCTCCGCCTCAATCGGGTCCTGAGCCATAGGATCAGGCTCGGGATCGTAGACCGAGTCCAACTCTGTCGGCATGAGCACCGTGGCGCGACGACCGAAATACGTCTCCACGCTGGGCGGTGCCTTCGAAAGGCGATCCCTCTGCCCGCGTTGCACCTGCCTCTCACGCTGCGCCTTGGTGACTCGGTCGGCTGGCCGAACACCCTCATCACAAGGCGGAGGAATAGCGTCCTTTGTCTCCTCCTCAGCATCCTCCCTTGGCAGAACATACCCTGAACGCCTCCCCTGGCAACGACTCAATCTCAAGTTGGTGGATATCTCCACCAGACGAGTAAGCTTGATGAAACCAAGCTTGTTACGCTTCTTCACATGAACACGCTTATGGACGGCCCAGTTCCTCTCCGCTGGAGAGGCACACTTCCATGTATGCGTCAGGCGAATGGCGTAACTCTGAACGAGAGGGACCCCGTCCCCGTGCTGCACCCACCACTGCCCGACCTGCGACGTCTCCTTCTCCCCTCTGCAGGAGGCCACGTCCTTGTCACCCTCAACCGCTGTGTACGTCCAATCGCCCTCCCGAGTATCTGCCAGTTGCATGCACAACGTCTGGTACAAGTCCTCGTCATCCCCAGTCTGCTGGCGAAGGTATCGCAGTGACTTCTCAGCCAGTGTCTTGTCGTGCTCGCTGCGCCTCGCCGCTTAAAAAAATGTGATGCTCCTGTGGCGCGGGTTGAGGAGGTGGGCAATGCAATGTGTCGGCTCCAACATATGATCCACCCGCGCCTGACAAGCTTGGATGATGATGTGCAGCTCGTCCTTCGACATCTTGTTAAGCCTCGCTCTCGCCACCATGTCAACCATGGCAAGCGCCCACGACCACATGCGAGTCATCACGCGCCCCCCTCTGTCCAAACGGCGTAGCAACTGCATCACAGGCACCATCAGCTCCACGATGTTCTCCACGTGTTCCCAAAATGGCGCGTAACACACCTGATGACGCACCCACCTGGCCTGCAAGAAAATGGACCTCCTCCATGCAGTCCGCAACCAATCATCGCTCATCATCAACGCCTCCAGCGCTCTATGACGATCCAACAACCTCTCCAACATCAAATAGTGTGTGGCGAACCTCGTCTACGCAGGGTATACAAGCTCTCTGCGGCGTCGCTAAGCCTGCGGTGGTGCAGCGCTGGAACTGGTCGCAACTGCGGAGGCGGAAGACGGGTGGGCGGCAGAGTACCGGCGATAAAGGCTGAGAGCCGCCCCGTGCTCTCTAATGAAAGGCACAACCACTCGAGCCGTGATGATGGTGTCCTCCCTCTTTCCAATCTTCCCGTTGCTGCCGTCCTTCGCGATGTCTGACAACAACAAGTTGCAGACATGGACTGCACAAGGAAGCCAAGTGATGCAGCTATACTTGACCTCCTCCTTCGTGAGCAGCTTGGAAGCAGCCACATACGCCGACGCGGAGTCAGTGCAAATGGTGTTGACATTTTTGACGTCGAACTTGTCGAACACGTCCTGCCATCGCTCCACCACGGCCTCCGCTGTTTCCTGAACAACATCGTCCCGCCGCACAGTCCTGAAGAGGTAGGCTCCCGTGGGTCCAGCAGCAAGGAAGTTCACTATCTGGTCACTCGTGATGGACTTGCGACCATCCATAAGGATAGTCGCTCCTGTCGCCGCAATGTCCTTGCGGACGACCGCCACCAAGTCCGCCACAACTAGCTGCTGCTCAAGGATGTCGTCGCCCGAAATGACACCGTGTGTGGGCAACGCAGGATGTCTATACAACGGACACTCAAGCAAGTGCTTCCTCATCCTGTTGTACTCTGACCTCCTCGACGCCTCGAATGGAATGCCACTGACGTAGTACCATTGCAGAAAGTAGTTGGAAAAATCTCATTGCCAGACAGGATTGAAGGCCTCGACCATGCAAGTCTGTTGAAGGACTTTGCTCTTCTTCGGCAAAGGAGGTGCTGCTGGAGTCGTCGTGGCAGTCTCTTTTGCCTTCCTCTTTCGCTTCTTCGATCCCCTTGCCTCCATCATCGCTCTGGCTGCCCCCTCTTGGCCTCGACGGCCACCAGCCATCAGCCCCCTCATCAAGAGAGGCTCCAATGTCCGCTTCCTGATCGTCGTCGTCCTCCTCCTCCTCCTCCTCGCCCGGAGTGCTGTCCTCGTCGACGGCCTTCTCCCTCCTCATCTTACCCTTCGCACGCTCCACCTCTCTCCGCACGTCCATGGTCGGCATGTCGATGTCACCATCATCCTCTCGACCCTCGGCCGCCCTCCTCTCGTCCTCGTTGTCCTCGTCCTCCTCCCCCGCCTGCTCCCTCCCCGAAGTACATCTGTTGTCTCGATACCCCCGAGACTTCAGGAAGCCGAGGATCTTCCGGCAATGGCTCTGATCGAACTTATAGTTCGTCTTGTTCCAAATCTCCGACAGCTGCTCCACAGACACTTTGGGGCAATTGTTATTTATCGTGAAGTGCGAAGCCGCCTTCGTTTGACTGCCCTGAAACCCATGTCCACACAATTTGCACTCCATGAGGAAATTCTCATTTCGTGATCCATTTAAACCCGCAGAACTTCAGCTCCACCGCCCTCTGTTTGTCCTTACTTACAGGGACAAATTGTTGGTCTCCCCTCCCTTTCCTAGGCCTCATTGGAGACAAAACACAGAGTCCGAAAAAAACAATAGCGGCCCTCAGCAGTGTCTGTGGCCGTGCCCCGCCACACCCCCGCTGCCACGACCTCCTCCTCCACCGGCACCGTTCCAACCCCCCCCCCCAAATCGTCCCGGAAACTGTCCGTGCCCCTTACTGACGGTTTAAGCGGACGGGCCGTACGTATGGACCCGTCCGTCCGAACACGCTGTGCGTACGCGGGCGTCCTGTACTTACAGGTGATCGTCGCCCCTCCGCAGGACGCCACGTGTTCGCCGCGCAGTCGACGCCGTCTTTTTGCGGATCGCCGTCGTCTTCGTCGTTGCTGTTGGCGTCCGCATCTCTCTCTCTCTCTCTCTCTCTCTCTCTCTCTCTCTCTCTCTCTCTCTCTCTCTCTCTCTCTCTCTCTCTCTCT